TCACTCTGCTCATTTTTTTTTAATGTTTGTACTGAACGCCGCACTTCTAGACAGGAATTCTGATCCTGGTTCCTTTATAGATGCGGGACTTAGCTGAAATTAACACAGTGCTCCTGTTGTGTAGGATAGATGGGGAAGTGAAACCATGCCCCTTTGGAAGCAGTCAGTGATTTCAACGGTGTTCCAAGATTTAAATGTTCAGCAGGACAGCTAGACACTTTGACAGTTCCTGGGATAGGTTAAATATGTAAGGTAAGCGTGGGACTAAGGTGGCAATGGTGGAAGGATCAGGGTATCAAAACAGGCTGGGTACCAGGTAGAGTGCCAGATAAGGAGGATGCCATGTGTGTAGTGTCATAGGAGGACAAGCTGCTAGGTGACTGGCTGTCAGGGAAGTAGGGTGCCAAGTGGATGGGTGCTATGTAAGTGATGGAGTTCTTGAAATAGTTAGGGAAAGGGGAGATTATGTCAGACTGACAGTAAAGGGGGCTTGCATTGTCTGGGCAGTGGGGATATCAGAATGGTATGGCAAGGGGCTGTTGGGGTAGGTGGAGTGAGGGTTTCAGGGCAGACAAGTTGAGGTGTGCTGGGATAGGTGGCTGGGAGTTTGCAGGCAGGTGGCTGCTATGTGCACGTGTGCACGTGCGCACACGCATACGGAGGTCAACTTAATAGTTACACAGAAGTTAGACTATATTTTTAATCATCTCACATTCCTTAGAAATCTATTAACTTTATGGAAGTGTTGCTCTCTGAATTCTCCAACACAAGGGAATTGTCCAACAGAGCCTTCAGTCTCCTGGGCAATTCCCACAGAGTCTGTTGCATCTGGGATTCCACAGGGTCCTGATGCACAACTCCAGTCTGCACAGATTATCAGCAATTCTAGGCCATGGCCCTCCCAAATATCACTGTCCACAAATCGAAACAAACACATTTGAAAACTCAAAAAAACCGGAAAAAAAAAAACACCAATAATGTATTAATTTAATAAAAAATATTTTAGTTAGAAACTTTGTGACAATTCATGTGGTTGCAAGCACACTGCTGAAGTGACAAGTAGCTAACTTTGTTCTCCATTTAGATCTTGCCTCAATGTTCTTTGTCTTCTCTGGAAGTGATTTCAGGGTACATACTTCTCAAACATGGTCTCAAAGGCTACTCTTGAGAAAGTCTTTTGTTCTGTTAACTGATTTGAAAATGTGCTCCATTTCCAAAAAAATCTCTGGCACTTAGCCAATGAACTGATCAAATCCTGATCACACTATTCAATCCTAGCCAGTGGAACTTACTGGTAAATAATTCCCAAATATTTACATGAAGTCATAAACAGTGACATTCCATGATCCATATAAGGTGCCAGTATGTCCTGAGACAACCTTAAAACCAGCTTTATTTGGTCAATACAAGAAAATGCAGATCACAACATGTTCTGGCTGCAGTTTTAACTGAGATCAGAGTTTAAACTAGCCTGACCAAAATTCCCAGCATGCTTGATTGTAGCTCTGAACCAGTCTTGGAGACATTTCTGTTGCTGGTCACCTGACCACATTATTATCACACATCATTCTCTACTGATCATTGAGACTGCTCAACAGTTCTACCAATATTACATTCACATTATGTTTGTGACTTTACACCATACAACCAATCGGCTCAATACAATCATGTATATTGACTAGTCTAACCATCAGTAGAAGTATATGAATGTTCTCTTCATGTTTCATATACAATGAAGCTGAAATATGACAGCTATAAGTTACAAGTAGTAAAAAAACACAATTATAATTGTATGATTACAAAATTGATTTCTGATTTTAAGTGATTCTGTAGGAGATGGATATTTCTTTGGCTCATAGGTTTCAAAGAACAAAGAAAAGTGCAGTACAGAAACAGGCCCTTCAAACCACCACGCCTGCACTGACTCATATTGCCCTTTGAAACTAAAGTCCATGTAGACAAATCCACTGCCCAGCCTTCATCAATCATCTTTTTAACTTCCACAAAAACTCAATCAAGTTTGTAAGACACAACCTCCCCATACAAAGCCATGCTGCCTATCACAAAGAAGACTATTGATTTTTTAAATGTGATTAAATGCTGTCCCTAAGAATCTCCTCCAATAATTTCCCTACTACTGATGTAAAGCTCACCAGCGCATAATTTCCTGGATCATCCTCATTGCCCTTTCGAAACATAGGAACAACACTAGCTATTCTCCAGTTTTCTGGGACCTCTGCTGTGTCTAAAGAGGATACAAAGATTTCATACAAGACGCCAGCACTTTCCTCCCTCGCATTCATCAAAATTTTGGGATAGATCCCATCAGGTCCTGGTGACTTATCTCCCTTTATGCTTTTCAAAGCACCAAACATTTGCTCCTTTTTTATATTTTCATGCCCTAGAATATCCAACATGTCCTTCTCCTTTGTGAATACCAATGCAAAGTATTCATAAAGGACCTTACCCACTTCCTCTAGCTCCATGCATAAATGCTCTCTTTTGTCCTTGAGTGGACCTACTCTTTCCTTAGGTACCCTCTTGCTCCTTATATATTTATAAAATATCTTGGGATTTTCCTTACATATTTATAAAATGTCTTGGGATATTCCTTGACCCTGTTTGCCAAATACATTTCATTATCAGTTTTACCCCTCCCAACTCCTTGTTTAAGTTCTTTCCTACTTTTTAATAATGAGTTAATGGATCTGTCTGTCTTAAATTTTCTAAACCTCACGTATGCCTCCTTTTGCTTTTTGCCTAAGCTCACAATTTCTCTTGTCATCCAAGGTTCCCAAATCTTCCCATTGTTATCCATCATTTTCACAGGAACGTGCTAGTCCTGAATTCTAATCAACTGGCCTTTAAAATATTCCCACATGCTAGATGTGGATCTACCCTTAAACAGTCGCCCTCAATCTTCATTCCCCAGTTCCTGCCTTTCCCCAGTTTAGTACTTTCACCCAAGGAATACTCTTGACCTTATTCATAAGTAACTTAAACCTAATGGAATTATGGTTACGGTTCCCAAAATGCTTCCCAATGAAACTTTGATCAATTAGCTGGGCTTGTTCCCCAATATCAGGTCTAACGTGCCCCTTCTCTAGTTGGACTATTTACATATTGCTGAAAAAAAACCCTTCTGGACTCACCTCACAAACTCCACCCCCCATCTAAACCCCTGGCACTGAGTGAGTCCCAGTCAATATACAGCAAGTTAAAATCACCCACTGCAACTACCCTGTTTTTTTTTATATTTTTCCATAATTTGTCCACATATTTGTTCTTCTATTTCCTCCTGGCTGTTTGGAGGCCAATAGTACAATATTATCAAAGTGATTGCATACTTTCCATTCCTGAGCTCTATCCATATAGCCTTGCTGGATGAGCTCTTCAAGGTGTTCTCCCTGAGTATAGCTGTGATTCTCCCTTATCAGTAATGCATCTCTCCCACCTCTTTTACATCCCTCTCTATCTCACCTGAAATATCTAAATCCCAGAATGTTAAGCTGCCAATCAGGTCTCTCTATCAACCAAGTTTCTGTTATAACTCCAACATCATAGGTATATATATTAATCCAAGCTCTCAGTTCATCTGCCTTACCTATCACACGCTTCACATTAAAACAAATACACTCAGACTGCCAGTTTCACTGCGTTCAGTTACCTCTCCCTGTCTGTTCTTCCTCTTAGCCTTATTAGCCTCAGTCTCTGACTCCTCCTCGGTCACTTCACTTGCTGACGCACTGCTGTGGTCCCAACTCCCTGCCATACTAGTCTAAACCCTCCTGAGTGACACTAGCAAACATTCTTGCACAGGTACCACTTGCCGGGAAGACATCCCAATGATCCACATATCCGATGTCTTTCCTCCTACGCCAGGTCTTTAGCCATGTATTTAACTGAAGTATATTCCTACTCCCAGCCTCACTGGCATTTGGCATAGGGAGTAAACCTGACATTACAACCCTAGGGGTCCTGCTTTTCAATTTACGACCTAACTTACCTTTGCAGGACCTCGTCAGTCTTCCTGCCTTTGTGATTAGTACCAATGTGTACCATGACCTCTGGATGTTCACCCTGCCTTTTGAGAATGTCCCACATCCGCATAGATACATCCTTGACTCTGGCACCAGGGAGGCAACACATCATTCGGGAGTCTGTTTTGCGGCCGCAGAAACACCTGTCTGTGCCCTCGACTTTAGAATTGCCTATTACTATGGCTCGACTGCACCTTGACCCTCCCTGCTGTACAATAGCGACACCACTCTGGCTGTTACTGTCACCATCCCCTGAAGGTAATCCCCTGCAACAGTATCCAAAACGGTATACTTGTTAGAGAGGGGGATAGCTACAGGGGACTCCTGCACTTCTGCCTTTGAGCAGTTACCCATCTATCTGCCTCCATCTTAGGTGACCATGTCTCTAAAACTCCACTTTGTGCATGCTCCAAAGTGTCTCCAAATTATTGTTGCACTCTAAAAAATGCACACAACTATTACATAAGTTCAGGAAACATCTGCAAACTTATCTTCCATACAGCTGACATTGCTGAAGGCCTTTCATGACACAAATAATCCAATATCATATAGATATCAAGTAGTACACTATAATGTACTTCTGTGTGAATATTTAGTTGGATCTATTTTATTTTAAGGGATTTAAATTACACACTGTCAGATTTGCCTTTCTTTCTTTGCATTGTCCATAATTACAATGTCTACTCAATGCCCGATTAGCATATAGCTCCACTGTTAATGTCTTTTGACATTCTCACAACAAACTGCATGTTGGATACAATGACAATTGAAGCATAGATTTCATCTTCAGACATGTTGCTTCTGAGCCTTATTCACATATCATAAATTCTCCATGTCTTCATGCATTTTAAACAGTAAACAGACATGATTATAAATCTATGCTTTCATCAACATTCGTCACTAAAATTAGTGAATGGAACAAAAGACATCCAAACTTGTTTCAAAATACTGAAGCCTTACCTTCTTCAGGAACCTTACACCATAGGAAAATATGTAAAGGTAAAATGTAAACTTCCACCTGCAGAGGAAGAAAACATATGAGAATCATAAGGAAGCAGTTACTCATTGTAATTTATTATTAGAGACTCACAAACTCAGCAGCAACACAATTAGAACATGGAGTAGCTATGACGCTGCAGTACAAATCAAGCTTCTGAATTCAGAGAAAACAGGCATATCTTTTGTGCAAATATATGTCAAGAGAATAAGCTCAGTTTCAGTTATTGAACAATAATGTAGTCCTCACAGCGGTTAATACTGGTCTGAGCTTTGCTTCAAGCACACTGCATTCTTCATTTAATAAACTTGCTGCTTCTTGGTTTGACTCACTGTTGAAATACTAACATGAATATCAATAAAGAATTATAATCAGTTAAAATGAAATGTGTTAACCAATCTATTACTTGTGCTGTCCATTTTGAGCTGTATAAATCTGTTCAGAAGTCTCTGCCTGCCACATAATGCAACAGCATAGAGCTTTATTAGGCACCACGTTGTTGGTAGCTACCAGTGGCAAGACATAGGGAGCTAAATTTGACTTTGTGCTGCTTGTTCACTTCAAAATTTCAATGTCTGGGGACACAATGGCCTAGTGGTATTATTACTAGACAATTAGTCCAGTAAACCCAGGTAATGTTCTGATGATCCTAGGTACAAATCCCACCATGTAAGATGGTGAAATTTGGGTTTTAACAAATTACAACTCTAACGATGACTATGAATCCATTGGCAATTGTCAGAAGAACACATCTGGCTCATTAATGTCAGTTAGGGAAGGAAACAGCCATCCTTACCTGGAATGGCCTGCATGTAAGTCCAGACCCCCAGCAATGTGGTTGACTCTTTATGGCAGTTAGGGATGGACAATAAATGTTGGTCTAGCCAGCGA